CTTTCAAAAAGTTGATGACTCTACATGTTTCTCCGTAGATAGGCCTGAATAAAATGTTTTAATTGTGTACCAGTTTTAACGTTGAATATTATTTATGATTTCAACTTTATACACAAGTGCCAAAATACAATAATCCCATGCTCGTTTAGAGCAACCAGAGTCAGTGGGTTAATGAAAGGGATGAAGTTTTAGAATAATTTTAATGTTTCGGAAAAATAAATGCCTTTAATTTATAATATTCCATTAACATCTTTATATAATGAGGCACGTGGCCATGATGAAACTCAGAGATATTAAAGGTCAGTACACTGGCTTCTCTTTTACTTATGCCATATGACTGTATCTTAAAAGACAGACTGGTCACCTAACAAAGAAAGAAAATCGGTGTCCGTAATTTTTTCTCATGCACAATATTTGTAAACAGCAAAGAAAGCAAGAAATTATCAAAACTGATTATATCTACTCAACTTGGTTATCACATTTTCTCTACAAACAAGTATCTTATTCACATGCAAAGGAAGTATAAATGTTTACAAAAAAAGTTATTTTCACAACAGTGAATTTTTAGCGTAACTCGAAGATATTGTGACCACGTATAGCCATTTTAATGTGAGTATTAAATACATTGACCTATGGGTCTATTCAAGAGTGTGCTATATCTAAAAATAAAGGTTTTGGAATTCACTTGTATATGCCACATAAATGAGGAAGTGTCGATAACACATAAATGTATACAAAATAAAAACACGTATTGGGAACTAATGCACAGGAAGCAGGTTTCTTTATTGAACTCTTTTTTTCTGGATTTAAAAGTATGTTGTGTGTATATCTGAAGTTATAAAAAATTTACCACGAAACAGGTGATATAATAAATAAAGGTGACACATAAATGTATACAAAATAAAAACGCGTATTGGGAACTAATGCACAGGAAGCAGGTTTCTTTATTGAACTCTTTTTTTTTCTGGATTTAAAAGTATGTTGTGTGCATATCTGAAGTTATAAAAAATTTACCACGAAACAGGTGATATAATCATCTTTTAGTTCTGAAACATATTTTTACAATGTAGATGTATTTTTGTTACTAACAGTTATGACTGAAAAATCTTGTTATATGTAAATCTGTGGCACTCGTGCAAAAATAATCATTTTTATGATACATTAAAGTAGCAGTGCACAAACTATTTCATCTCACTCCCCTTTTCTAAACATGGCATTGTGTTGTACCCTGTATCGGCCCGATGGGTAGGGCACTCTGCTTTCTCTCCGAGGGTTTGTGGTTTGAATACGGACTCCAAAAATTCAACCACAGTGGTATTATAATGTGGTGGTCAATCCCACTATTTGTTGGTAGAGTTCACCATGGATGGTGTTGACTAGCTAGCTGCCTTCCTTCTAGTCTATCAGTTCAAAATTAGGGATGGCTAATGGATAGCATGCAAGTAGCTCTTCACAAGACTTAAAAACAAACACATTCCTCTTCATGGGTGCTTTCCCCCCTTACATTTCACACAAAATTGCACGTATTATGATGTAAACTTAACATCGTAGTTAAACTAAATATTTTTATTAAAACTAAATTTGTCTTTGCTTTTAAGCACACATAATACATTCTTTTAGTCCGTTGACTTACACCATAAAAGCTGATCTCCTACATACATGTTTTGCCTCTCCTCGAAAATATTTCTTTGTATGCCCATTCATTCCTTATAAACTATTTGTGTGTGTATATTGTACATGAAAATTTTCCCACGTTAACCCTATCCACCACACGTGATTCACAGGACATAATACTAGAGCACCTGAGGATCATATTTAATATGCAAATGATGCTCGTGAACATCGCAAAAGGAACTGGTTGTTTTGGTTCAACGTATGAGATTCGAAGACAGCTTCACATGATGCTCAAAGCACATGTGAATGATGGTAGGTTAAGTTACTTTCACTCAAGAGAAAATGTAAACCTAGGACAAATATTTTTTTTTTATTAATAATTTATATTTTCATTACTGATTACACTAATTTTCTAACAAATGAATACTGTTTGTATAAAAAGAAAAGTTCTATGGAATATCAACAATGCAAGAAATGACCTTAAACAGCGAAAGGGTTAATTGTTATGGCATTACTTAATAGTTGTATGGTAGTTATTAAAACTTCATTTTCAAAACTATACTTTCAAATATTATTTCTATGTTCCTATAACCATAATTATGTGCATACAGTTTGTGTAGCATGGATACGTGTATAACATAGTAACTTTAAGTTTGATTTACTTATTCACTTTCAGTGTTAACTAAAGTATTACGGTTTTATTAGTTCACTGGTTTACATTTCTAGAATTCTGTATTATAATGACTAAAAGTGATTTCTAGTGTTTATTAAAATAATTATGTCATAACAAGTAACCAAAGACACACACACACACATCATTGAAAAATTTTATCATCACAGTATACTTTTAGAACAGTTGTAGAAATATTTTGTTATTGGTGTTTCTCTATTCCAAAGACACCATTGTTAAAATAATTAACATCAATAACCTTATAGCAAATGAAAATTTTCAAACTTTTATCTTCATATAGCATAGCAAAATGTTGAAGATGTCAATACAAAAAAACAAAACATCATTGTATGTGCAGTCTCATACAACACCTTGGGACTGAAGACTGTCCATACAAACAGATGATGTCTTTGGGCCATCAATAAACCTAAATAAACTGAAACAGTTACAAACCTAACAGAAAGCAGAAGAGCATAAGACTGCATGATTGTTTCTGCTATAGGTACGTTTTCTCGTTCTTTTTCAAACTTTTCTCTTGTATCCAAAACTTGGAAAAGTCGCGAATTAAGTTTTAGAAACCAAAACAACAATGTTGAATAGGTATTGCAAACCATTAAAGTACCTACTAAAATTGGATTATAACTTCTCAACCCTACATAACCAGATGACACATCAATAGTGGAAAGACTATTAGAATTTCCCTGAAAAAAGAAACTTGCCATCCCCATCCAGAAATACACAGTTGTAAGAATAGTAGTATTTTTTGTTAAGCCCTGGAAAATTATCCATATTATTTGTTCCTCGCATATGAGGAGTGCGAACATTGGAATGTTGTGTGGCCGAAGTAAAAGAAATGTTAATAGCACCCACCCAAGTGCTAACCTATTCCAAGCACAAGTAACATTTTTAAGTTTCTCATAACTGGGAACCTCATTCCAAAAAGTATGAAAAACCTTCAATATTGCACATAAAATCAACAGTATCACTTGAGCATATACTAAATGTGCTTTTATTAGAGATCTTTCAGAAGCAGATACCTGTTGGTGTTGAATCTTCAAATTTTCTACATGATATAGCACCACACAAACCATGCCACAGGTAAATACAACACTTGGTAATGTGTCCTTTCTACTGAAAAGCAGTCTTAAAATGAGAAGTAACGACAAAATGATGATCAGTATGAGAAAGTTTTCATTTTCCGACAACCTTAACCAATCTCCTATGTCAGGTAAATGAGACCATTTATCCCCTGTACTGTTCCAACTACGCAATATTCTACAAAGAACAAGAGATGACAGAGATAATAACAACTCTTTACAATCTCCTATTAATTGGAATAGAAGTGAAAAAGTTACTTTAAAAGAAGTAAAACTAGAATTTAAAATATATCTTTGGCCTAAATAATCTACTTTTGAACTCCAATTTACTGAACTATTACTACCTTTTTCTTGTTTATAACAATGAATGTTTCTTATCCTTTTAATGCTTATAAAACTAGCTTTTAAGTAAGATATACATGTTACCAACTGTATTGTGGTTGCAAAAAAATAACATAACTGATGTTCCTCTTCAATAAAGCTAGATGATGTGAAGCTCATAAAATGCAGCACAAAACTAAGACATATTAAAGTTTTTGTTTTAGTAAGCCATTCAAACCTCTTTATTTTATCCCAATTACAAAAGCAATTTAAATAAAACAAGGACAAGAAACTAACAACTACCAGAACAGTAAAGGTGATAAAGCTTAATAAACTATTCTGACACAAGGAACTTTTACTTCCTTCACCACTGCAAACATACGTATGGACAAATAAGACAATCATGATTACAGCGAAACTTGTTATTAAAGTTGTTTCATATTTTGTGTGTCGTAAATAATACAAACAATTATAAACAGTGTTACTACTGGACATCGTGACAAGTACCATAACAAAAGAAATTTGACTTGTGATATAAATCCCTATATATAATGCGTATACATCATAGTTCGTTGCATGTGACATTAGTTCATTTCTTACTGCTGACATAAACTGTGCATAGTTACGCTTGGCTTTTTTTGCAAGATTTGAGAATTCACTATCATCTGGGAAATGTTTAGCCCAATTAGCACTCCATTCTTTGTGAGCATTCAAGGCTGTCTTAAAAAGATCTACGTATGAAGCTTTCAATCCATCTTTATAGTTCTCTTTCATTACCTGCATAAGGTGGGCAGCATTAGAATACAACATACTTAACTGTTCCTCATCCGTCATGCCTAGTGCTTCTGCAATACCTGGAATGATGGAACCTATGCTGTTAGTGGGGATAGGCAAACCAAGAAGAAGAGCCAATGTCGGTGTTAAATCAATCTGTGGAATTTCTGATATTATATGATTCTTAATGTGAGCAAGATCCCCGCTCCAACCTTTGGAACTCAGAATAATTAATGGTGTTGACACTTCTCCTGGTGAAACCCCTCCATGACTTCCTCGTGGACTCATACCATGGTCTCCACAAACAACAACCAGTGATGTAAGAGAAGATTCTCTATCTAATGTAACTAGGGATTTGGAAATAAACTCTATAATACCATCCATTTCCCGCAGTTTTGTTGGAAGCAACGTTGATTCGGGTCCTGCAAGGTGGCCAATGTGATCTAAACCAAGATAATGAAGAATTAAAATATCCCAATCAAATCTTTCCATTTCTTCTTTTAAATGTCGAGTTACGTTATTATCAACTTCAGTATAATCAGAAACAAAAAATGATGTTGTTCCTTCAGACCGAAGGAAATGTTCTGGAAATAACTTCAACCACGTGTCATCACCATAAAACACTAAAGTCTTATCATTATGATAAGCCTGAGTGACCAGATTATCTTCTTTCAGTGATTCTGCATCAAGATTGATTATGACATCAACAAATCCTGGTACATTTCCTGTCGTCATAGCTTTGATTCTTGGTAAAGTAACTGTTGGGGCTTGAGCTCTACTGACAAATCCAAAGGCCACACCATTCTTCAAAGCTTTCTCTACATAAGGCATAGTGCTAATAGGTTTGTTATGACTGAAAATTCCATTTTGAATACTAGGAATAAAGTCGGCACGAAGGGCATCGATAACAATAAACACTAACCTGTTAATTAATGGTTTCGTTTTGTTTTTTCCTATAAAATCAAAGGGTGGACATTCAGGAGAGCTTCCAGTTTCACTTTTCTCGCACTCTGGAAAAACCATAGATTTTACAAGATTATTAGTATCAATTGAGTAACTGCGTTCGAGTTTTTCACTAAACAAAGACTTTACGGGAAAAAACCCTCTAAAAAATAGGGCAAGTCCTATCATATATAATAAAACACACAACATCAATTCAAGCAGCCTCACTTTCGCCATCTCTATTCACCAGGAGATAATATTAATATCGACAACATCAGCTCTCCTTATACACGCACCATAAATAATATTCGCGTTATTCTACAGGTCAGTGTCGCTTATCTTAACATAAAGAACACACTGAATTGCATTTTCCTAAATCTTTAAGGCTAAACCTTTACCACCGTCTAACCCACGATTTCGACAAATCGTGAGTGGAAGCACCCAAAAATATTTTCTCCACTATGCGGCGTTTTATCTTTCCTTTCCAGTAAAATTATATTATTCTTAATTAATAAATCAGCTATAATATTCACCACAAAATAATATAAAATATTATTACTTCATCTTTATATATAAACTGTTATCAGTATCACATCAAAAGCTATAGAAGCATATCCGATATCATTATATTAATAAGATTAATAATTAATCAAACAATTTAAAAAACGAATCTTATTGTTCGGGTGGCACTCAAATTACCCTAAATTAAACTTTCCAATATTTTTCATTTATACATTTATGACTTGACTGTACAGAATATGAGTATGACTATGATGAAATGTTTAAAATGACAAAAATCATTGAAATACAACAAAATATTCCATTTAGTGATGTTGCGAACAATTACTCTTCGTTAGGCTTAATAGAAAAAATTTGATTTTATTACAAAATTGAGGCCTATTGGTTTCTAATGCTTCGCCAACTTTAGGCGTTCATAAACGACGGTTATATTTTTCTTTGGTTTCGATGTTTAGTCTTTTATAGGTACGTACGAGATAAACAAGTCTTACATGTGAGATACCACCTCGTATGATGAAATGCACAAATTGTACAATAAATGTGTCTAATTTTAGGGATCAGTTTATAAAGAACAATTACTTGGTTTGTTCATACGAATTACGTTATAAATGAAAATTAGTTGATGTGCTTGTTTCGTAATGACGTTTCACATAAGTTTCGTAACAATTATTTGATCGTCAACTTGAAGGATCGTACTCAACACGTAGACGTCACGTTGGTGTTACTGTACCTTGAATATTACATGTACATTATATCAAAATAGATTACTCGTAAATCAGAACTTAAAGTTTATTTGGGCGCTATTTTCAGGGCTTCCGTACAGTATAAAATAATTACCTTCAGTAATTATTTAGATAATATCTCATACGTACAACAGATGGTTTCTCGTACGTACGAGATAATAAATTCAATTATTTTTTTCCCTTTGCGGTTTAGGACTTCCGTACTTTTACTCACTATTAATAACCAAAAAATATTGTTGCAAGCTATGGTTTTAACGTTTTACTTCGGATGTTAGCTAGAGTGCATATGACATTGAGATTAAGTAGGTTTGTGGGAAAAAGCCTAAAAAAAATTTAAATCTAGTAAATTCTGGTAGTATTGAGAGACGAGGTTTCGGCAATAAAATCAAAAATAACTGTTTTGTTTCAACCAGTAGTAACTATGAACGAGTATTAAGTAGTCCTTTTTTTCAGCGGAGTATTAGATCATTGTTCGTGAAGGCATATATTCGGTTATTTGATCGATTAGCCGTGATAATTTACAAGTATGTTTATTTTTATGTTAGTCTAGTACCGTTAGTGAAGCATTTTTATTTGAACGTCATTTGTACATTGAGGCATGTAAGTTATTGCTGAGCCACCTGGAGGTATCAACACTGTAAACATTAGACTTTTAATTATAAATTTTCCATTCCATTATATGAATTTAAAAATTCTTAATAAAAAGTTCGACTACAAAGATGGAAGTAACAAAAATCAATAAGACAATCTCTGTGTTTGAAATGATATATAAATAGAAAAAAAGAGAAATATAAAAATATCATGTTAAAATAAAGCACAAGCAAGTTTTTTTTCAGTTAAAACATGTATCATAAGAACTTAAATTATTCTTTCTTCATTCTTGATATTACAGTTTTATAATTAGTGATAATCAAACTAACATATTTAATACCTAAAATCTTTTTTCAGCAATATATTCATCTCTTTCACACACCCACAAAAGCGTGTTTGTCTGTTTATTCTGGTAAGTCTTTGGTTTCGTGAAGCATGAAATAATCTTTGTCACGAAAAATAAGTGACGACTCTTCTCTACCCTCTTGAGATATTTTCCCAGTAACTCGAAGTGCCTGTTTATATAGTCATCATGTCATCCAATTAGAAACGTATTTGTACCGTTAATAGTAACCTTAAGAAAAATGTTACTACAATGCTGTGATCATGTATGCCATAAAGGTCGGTTTGTCCATCTAATATCTCTTAACATATAAATATTACTTGAGATGTTGTAAAACGAGTAGATAAAGAAGTTCACAGGAAATATAAGCAAATATCTGACTTTTGTTACATATTACAATTTCGAATGGTCTGAAACTGAGTTAACTCATAGATTTAAATTTAGTAGTTAAATTGTAATTTGGTTTGTTTGAAGTTAAGCACAAAGCTACACAATGGGCTATCTGTGCTCTGCCCACCACGGGTATCGAAACCCGGTTTCTAGCGTTGTAAGTTCCCAGACATACCGCTGTGCCACTGGGGGGCAATAGACTAAAGCAAGGATCACCAAACTTTTTTCACAGCGGGCCAGATAACTGAGAGAATGACGAGCGCGGGCCGCATAACCATTTTGTTCAATACAATACAGTGACTACACAAAAATAAAGACAACAAACATGTTTACTTTCCAAAAAGTTATCAAAGAAGGCGACGTCAGCAGTAAGATAGTTATATCACACCCAGTGCGCACATATCCGAATCTCACAAACTAAGCAGCAAAAAATGGTTTGTGAGATTTGTGAAACTGGCGTTTAGCTTTTGAGATATCATCAATATTTGCTTTGGAATTGCTGCATCCAACCAAGAGAATTGCTTTCAAATGTTCATCAGTCAACCTCGTTCGATGTGCTGACTTCACGTACTTCATTTTTGAAAATGTTTGCTCACAGACATAAGTTGTTTCCAGTCGAACTATAGTTGGAGCTCATTGATTTGCAAGCAAATGACTTGTTGAAAGAGAAGCACAGAGAAGGAAAACTTGTTGAATTTTATCGCTGCTTACCTGATGATGAGTTTTCAAAGTTGAAGAAATTTGCCTCTGGTATGGCATCAGTGTTTGACTTGTGTCCTAAGAAAGCCGATTTGTTTGGAAGTATCAGCCTTTCAGCAAGTTCAGTTGTGCGGAGAACAGAAGAACTTGGAGAGAAAATAGTGTTAATACACGAGAAAGGATAGAGCTGATCCACTTCTGTCAGATCCTTCCTGGCTGTCAAAGTTGTCATTTTTGATTGACATCACATCCCACATGAATGAATTGAACTTGAAGCTTCAGGTAAAGGATAACCTTATCTGTGATCTCTACAGAATCATCAAAGGATTTCGGAAAATGCTATCATTGTTTGAAGCACAACTGGAAGGAGGAAACTTCTCTCATTTTCAGTGTTTCAAAGAGTTTTGCGCTGTAATCGCAGAAGATGTCAACCTCGAGTTTCAGAAGAAGATTATTAGTGACTTAAATAAGCATTTTTTGGAGAGATTTTCAGATCTCGACAAAATTGAGAGTGATATTCTTCTGTTCCAGAATCCGTTTGATTGTAACCTTGATGACGTGCATTTGCTGCTTCCATCATACACTCTTTGATGAAGTTG